AGGCTTCAAAAAAACCAGCAGCAGCCATATTACGCAAGAACAGCCTTAGTGAGCGCAATCAAGCTTCACAAGCAGTAGAGCAGTCTCTCTTGTAGGCAGATTAGTTTTAAAGCTTCAAGTTCTATACTTATGCTTGTCACATGAGAAAATATCCTGGTTTACTAAAGCGTTGATTCTAAAATGTGTGACATTGCTATTGCAAGTGCTCGATGAGTGCCTGGACACAATGGAAACGAGTCTAGCAAAAACTGAGCAGTACTAAATAAGCACTAGATTGATTCATTCGTTTTTTACGACTTATCGACCCTTTACACATTATTTAAAGTCATAAATATTTTTTAGATTGTAAGAATTGTTTTGGAGGTCATAATGATGTAGTGATAAAAGACTTATTAATTAACCCATAGCTGGGAGGAGAAGTGGTGAATTCATATCTTTCCCTGGGGTATTTGCGCATAAGTGGATACAACGAACAAAACTGAAATTAGAACGCGGCTCTCTGGTTAATAATTAAAAGCCGGTACCCATTACACCAGCCGCACATCCAAACTTATATCACCTTATATTCCTAAATGGTCTTCCAATCTAGTTACTGACCACGCACGACGTTGCTTAACGTCGGTGATGGTACATGAACCGGTATTTATAAGTACTAGACGAGATATCCCTAGACATTGTCACCGGAGCAGAGAACAACCTAAATATGTATATGAAATAAAATGATTTGTTCGAAATTTCCTTAGGGTTATTTGGATCGGTAAGCACCTGATAATAATAACAAGCAAGATAAGGACAAAAGTCTGACTAAAAAAATTAAAAAAAAACGTACATAATGAAGTTGATAGTAATACTCATCAATATTGGCACACTTGGAACAGTTCCGAACTGCTTTGAGAAACATATTTTTATATTTTCAATCATTTTCCGCCAAGCAAGGCAATAATGCGAAGACTTCAGTTAGGAGAAGTGAAGAAAAAGGACAATAAAAGAGCAGAATTCAAAAAGACCTAAAATGGCGATTGACGTTACATTAGTTTTTTAAAGATTGTAGGTGACAGGGAACAAGAAATCGAAGATATTTCCACAGGCAAAAAGTGAGAGAAAAAAAAAAACTATAAGAATAAAACAGACAGATGCATCTAGCTGGTTGAACAGTAAAACGGTGAGACCTAATTGCCAACCCAGTAGCACTCCTTAAATTCATGAAGCCGACAAACGAATAAAGGGAGCTCATTAGAGCAAATAGCATGTAAATATTTTTAGCAAAGACTGAGAGAAACCACCTCATGTCGGTGAGAAAGTGACTGAAGCCCAGATATCAGGTAAGGATTGATTACATGACAGACCCTTCTCTGAATTTTGTCAAGAATCTCGATATAAATAGTAGGAACACCAGGCTAGATATATCAGTATGCCACGTATGAACGAATGGCAGATTTATAAATGTGAAAGATGATAGATGACGTGTAAACCTCTCTAGAACCAACTTTCCTAGGACTAGATCTAGCAACTGATTCAAAATATACACTACATTTCATGTCAGCGGGAAACGTGAGCCCAAGAAGGCGCAAGGAAGAATTGTTAATTTGAGGATGAAATAAAACCACCAGAACATGTATTACAAAAATTAGCAAGAATACTGAAGAGAATGTTAAAGTAGATCTGCTATCAATTGATTGCCAGTGTAATTAATCAGAATTGTAATGGCAATAACGACGTTAGTTGTTTCCATCTAAGGAAACATTCGACTTTCATTGGCTGAATAGTTATGGTTCTTGGCGGTTCATATTTATAAAATATTTTTCTCTTCAAATAAGTTTCTTCTTCTTCTTCTTCAAAAAAAATCCGAAATCAAATTTTTTCGCTCTTTCTTGTATTGATGACAGGTTTCCTTCTTAACCTTTTGTTAATTGTAGTGTTGAAAGCCAACAATTCTTCTGCTACCCATTTTAGTTGTTGCTGCTTTTGGAAGTAATCAAGTGACGTCATTTTTTTTTATTTGGTAAAGTTCTTTGTTTATGATTTTGTGGCGCCAGTTTATAAGATTAGGTGAGGTATTGTCTTCTTCAGTACCAAAAGGATATATTCGATTATTTTTACACATTGGGGGGAGGAGGTTGTATATATAATCGATAATTTTGACATTTCTGAAGGAGTTGAATCGGGTGCCATATCTGACATCCATCAAAGAGTCTCCATGACTCGAGTTCTGAATTTAATAATCTGATTTTTAGCATCTTACAGCGTAGAAAACAATTACCCCAAGTGCAACCTATCCTGTACTCAGTTTTCTTATCTCCGATATTTGTTTTCCATACATCGAGGTATTTGAAGTTTTTAGTGTTTATTAATTCCACATTTTTAATTTTTATAAACGATTATGTATGCTTGCTAATTTAATTCCACTACTGTCTTTGTAGTAAGCCTGATCGGTTTGGCAACTGATCTAAAACTGTTAACTGGGGCAAGTAATTGCTTGTTAATTTTAAAACAAAACTACTCCCTATTTGATATGTCCCGGAAAGGGATATATATTGATCGAAGTAGCTTATTTGGTTTGGCTACTGTAACCAAGTAATACACGGTAGCAGTAATTGACTGGTACTCGTGGTAGTCGCAGGTAATAGGTATAGACCAATAGGATAGCCATTGACGTAGTCCAATCAGCGTGGTCATAGACTTAAACTCTGTCGTACGTACACGTCCGTCTGTATTTATGACGGACACCAGCCAATCATATTCCAGTGAGGGGTAACTCAGGTGTATGCATATTCCATTATATCACTATTAATAACATGTGAGAGCACTTTCTGCCTTCTATTAGCATGGCTGATGCTAACCTTCAGGAAAATTACTCATTGTGCCTTCTCAGACAAACGTACTCTGATTACACGTTGTGGAAAGGTTTCATTGAATCAATTGCTAAGTCTGCTGCTAAGAAATCTGGTTCTCTATGTCCTGCCAGACAATTCTTCTCCCCAGAATCCAGCTTACATATCTATAACTCTGCCACTTCTCCATGCCTTGAATATTGCTGCCATATAAAAGGCCCGGTGTTCCTGCTATATAATTAGATATTCTAGACAAAACACAAGAATGTTAACTGTCCTGCCCCGGCACATGCGCCGTAAGGTAGCTGCCCTGTGCCCTTTCTAGAAATACGTTCATGGTAATTGTTCTAGTGAACCTTTCTCTACGGTATCCAGGTCTCACCATTTTACAGTTGAACAAGCTTAATATAACCGTTCTGTGCTAATATTTTGTTATTTCGCACTTCTCGCCTGTGGAACCCTTTTTCCCAGTTCTTGCTTTTCAGTTATCTCTGATCTTCAAAACTTTGAATGCAACATCAATCGTTATATATTATCTTCTTGATTCCTTTTCTTTTATTGATCTCGTTACTTGATAATGTTTTTTTTTCTTATTCTTTCACACACAATAACTCCTTGTATCTTCGTGACTATATTGGTGGGAAATTGTTAAAAAATAAATCCACGTCATAATTTCTGTTTTGTATATGGTTATCTTAATTCTTATATCTTGGTAAACGATTTTTATGATAAAAGCTTTGCATATAACTTAATTTCTGGTAACTATACTGACATTTTCGCGTTATATTAAGAGACACATTTGTATTAGTTAGAAAAGCCATCTGGACGAGTCAAGCTCCCAATAAGTCTGAGATTGATGGATATCAGCGAAGGATATCCATAAGTGCCAGGTGCTTAATAGGCTTTGGGTTTTGTTTTTTTTTTAAATTGAAGGATGATAAATAAGAGAGACATATTGCAGAGTCATAAATCAACAGCTCAACTTAAATCGGAACATGTTTTTCGCAATTATCTGCTTTATTCTCAATTCTCTCTTTAGTATGGCTTTCTTTCTATCAGGTTTTCCAATATGAAGTGGCCGAGACATTTCGAAAAAAATAATCTCAGAATTTAAAAAAAAATGAATATTTTGAGTAAATACAGATTTTTAACTTTATTTAAGTTAAAAATAGATTAACATACTCAACATTCTCTCTTTTTTTTCTTTTTTTTTTAAAAATAAGTTCTGATAAATTTTGATGCGATGCTGATAAAAAAAAAGTTATTTGTCGCAAAAATGATCAGATAAATAACCAAATTCAGCTGCTTAGACAATATTCCCCAAAATGCCAGGCACACAATGCGGTATATGAACTAATAAAGAATGTTAATAATAATAATATTTAATATTAATAATAATATGAATAATAATATGAACAATAATATGAATAATAATAAAATATGAATAATTAATAATTAATAATAATTAATTATAAATAATATGAATTAATAAAGAACAAGAAACAAAGATCTACTCAGGTTGGTTTAAATTTAAAATCTGGTAGATTTTACTGTTCTTAGTACAAAAATCACCAATTTATCTTGCCGAAACCCCTGATAATTTATAATTATTAGCTCTCTCTCCTATTTATTCAACACTCTCCTCGTCACTGGCTTGTCTCTCGTTCCACATTGTGGGCGCTTACGATAAGAGGCGAAAGGCGGAGTTGAAAAAAAAAGAAGCTTTTCCACATTGGTTTATCTCTACGACAGGCAAAGCGTAATCAAATTCTCTTTATTTACTTTCATGAGATTTATTTGTATCAGCCAGTTTTTTTTATACTTATCGACATTCTAACTCATTTTCAGCCATGTCATGTTGAAACACCGGTTCCTCGTAAGATCACCAAAGTTAAGCAACGTTGAGGTTGGTCAGTACCTGATAATTTATAATTATTAGCTCTCTCTCCTATTTATTCAACACTCTCCTCGTCACTGGCTTGTCTCTCGTTCCATATTGTGGGCGCTTACGATAAGAGGCGAAAGGCGGAGTTGAAAAAAAAAAGATTTTCCACATTGGTTTATCTCTACGACAGGCAAAGCGTAATCAAATTCTCTTTATTTATTTTCATGAGATTTATTTGTATCAGCCAGTTTTTTTTATACTTATCGACATTCTAACTCATTTTCAGCCATGTCATGTTGAAACACCGGTTCCTCTTAAGATCACCAAAGTTAAGCAACGTTGAGTTTGGTCAGTACCTAGAGAGGGACCGCTTCGTAATACCAGGTGCTGCAAGCATGGGTGTACATGTCGTATAATGGATAGCGGCTCGCAACTGGACATAAAACCGAATTCTAATTTCAATCGTTTACCTTATATTCTCTTACACGCAAAGATATGAACCAACCTCTATTTTCCACACTTATGGGTTAATTAGTAGGAACTGTATCGGTAAAATCATCATCACCTCCAAAAAATTAATACAAATATTCTGCCTTTAAATAACCTGCAAAAAGGTTGATAAGCCGTAAATAATAAATCATTCAATAAGTCTAATCCATTTTCACAGCCATCTTCCTCCAGATACGCATTCTAATCCTGCTTTTACTCTTCTAACTCTTCTATCTTCCCCTAGAATATTTCTTTTTTGCGCTATTTCATTAACAATTTTTTGAGTATACAAGTCCTTCTATTTAACCCATAGCTGGGGAGATAGATTCTTAACTTTCTCAAGGATATTTGCTCATAAGGGAATTAACGAACCTGTTTGGGATTTGAACTCGTGGAAAAAAAAACTCCTATGTGATGCGTTTCGTCAGTTAGGATTCAAATGATATTTACTTTGCTGAAACTACATATGTGCATGAAGGAGAGGTTCGGCTGAAATTCATATATTTTGAATTCAAATATATATTTAATAAAAAAATAGTATGAGAAATAAAAACAATTATTAAAAAAATCATTTAAATTCAAAAGACTCAAATTCACAAAAATGTATTTTCCACTTTATCATAATTTTCCTAAAATTGTTCATGATATATACAAATGTAAATAGCATTTTCCCATATATATATATATACGTTAAAGCTTATTACAGGGGATATTTTCTATTTTAAATAAATGCCCATTTTTTTTACTTATTAAATAGTGTGCATTCGAAAAATCTTAAAGAATAATGCGTTCCCCGGCTGACCAATAGACGTAATACCGGATGGTTAATAAATAGACAAAAAACGGGGTGTGTGTTTCAAATAAAATTAAGTAAAACATCGTCTAGAAGAAACCTCAATAGAATGAAGAAAGAACTGAACGGCCGTTTCGTCCTATATTTGGAACTCATCAGCAGTGCGCATCCACATCCATATTTCAAATACTCCTAATTATTTCTCTATATATATCATTGCTTAAACCAACTTCTAATGCTCTGGATTGAGCGGCTTGGGGGTAGTAGTCGTAGCTTGGGCAGGCACAGTCCTATGGGTAAAAGAGAAACTCGGAGAAGTTCCACCACGGAATTTGTGATCGAGCGCCGCTATATCGAGTCTAATTCGTTACCTCTTCGTCAACGAGAACCGTTGGTACAGTTGGTATGGCGTTTACCCCACCGCGTTCGTAACTGTTTGGGTTTCAATTCTCGGTAGTGGATTCGCACTGCTGATGAGTCCCAAATATAGGACAAAACGTCTGTCCAGTGCTTTCTGCATTCTGTTGAGGTTTCTTCAAGACTCGATGAATTACTTAATTATGATTATTTCAAATACTCCTAGTTTTCTCTCTCTCTCTCTCTATATATATATTTAATGCGTACAGATGATCCTTAAGAATTCATTCGGTTATAATTTCATGAATATACAAATATTCATCTCTTCAGACCAAAGATTTTTTAATTAATGGAGTCAATTTATCCAGACGAAAGTAAAAGGGAGAGGAAAAAAGAAAAAAGAAAAAAAAGACCTTTCTTTGCAAAGTATATTTCATGAAATAAATTATAATCCAATGGATTTTAAGGATCGACTGTATTCATTATTATTATTGCTCTGTTACTTACACTAAGGTCTCTTTGGATTAATATCCTCCTTGGAATTATCCATACTAATTATCAATTGATATATATATATATATATATATATATATATATATAAAATTACATGAATCATTCATACAAAAAACAGATTAGTAAAGTTAATGATATAAATGGCGAGAATACATCTTCGCACACAAATTTATTAAAATTACATTAACCCACGAAATTCTAGATGTATGTTGTGATCCCTGTTTTTAATAAATTCAACTTGTATAAGGTCTTTATTTGCTAGTACTTTCATCTGTTCATACAGACAACATCAGGCATGGAAATTGATTGTTTTTTTTTTAAATACATCCAGGTAATAACGGGACACGAAATATGTTTTTTAGAAATGTGTTATTGTTAACTGTAAGAAATTCTGGAGCGTACAGTCGCAACGCTAAGGTTGAATTTTTTGAAAATTTAAAAGAGAGTGCGTTTTTTTGACTAATATGGTAATTGTAGAATTCTTTATTTGTAGTAGTTTTTTTCAGACGATGTGGCATGAACTAAATTGTTCAATAAATAGAGCAATGGCGCAGCTATTATCCCAGAAGTTGCACGACGTATCAGTTTTTTTTTTAAATCAAATATGTGGTGCAGTTCAGTTTATATTACATGAATTATTCATACAAAAAAAAGAAAGATTAGTGAAGTTAATGATATATATATATATATATATATATATATATATATATATATATGAAAGTGAACATTGAAGTGAACGACCAGCAGCGAGTCTGTTCATGATTAACCATAATCCTCATGGTCTGAAGACTGCGTTTAAGCAGGAAACAGACTGATAGAAGGGAAATAAATAAAAATTCAGCGCACCGATCCGAATTCAATAGACAAAAAAATGAAATGTGTTCCCCATTCTTATGTTTTGAGATTGCTGATTTGCAGAGTTCTCAGAGTGTGTTACCATATTTTTGACTGACATTTTAAATATACATATATATTCCTTGATTATTCAACAGAACTTTCATTGCATACCATTAATTCATTCTACTATTTTATTCAATAATGGAAAAGTTTTGAAACACAAGACTTTATGGTTTCATAATTCTATGAGTTCACACCGTGTTTTAATGGAGATGACGCTTCCAGAAATATAATTCCCACACTGGAGAATAACGTATTTATTAAAAGAAAAATATGTTGCTGCCAAGAATTTGCAAGGAAAATCATTTTAAAATATAGATACAATAAATTTAGTAAAATAAAATATGCTGGTCGCATGAAAATGCAAGGAATATAATTTTAAGTTTTGGTTAGTACGTAGATAACTTGTTGCAAGAAGTTAATATGCCACACTACTTTAAATAAAAGTTTAGTAAGAAAACCATCATTAATTCTGGAAAGAAAGTTAACATCTACTGGACTTGACAAAAAAAAACATAATTTACTCGAAATATTTTATAAATTTTAACTGAAAGCAGTATCGGTTGCTCAACGAATGCTAAATGTTTCCTTAGAGGGAAAAGGCCAATATTTCCGTTACTATTTCCATTGTGTTCCAAGAATTCGAACGAATATAATTTTAAGATCTGGATACAATGTTGCTAATAAAATAAGAAAAACATATGTTGATCTAAAGAAATTGTGAGGAATATAATTTTAACGTCTGGATAAAATTTTGTTGGTAAAATAAGAAAAATATTTTGGTCCAAAAATTTGGGTAAGGCACAATTTTATGATAAGAACAAAATGGTTTTAGAATAACAACACAAATACAGGGTGTCACAGAAGTCGCGCACCATCCAGGTTTTCATTTAAAATACACATAAAAAAACGCATTTATTGATCATAATCATAAGCACTACATGAATACTGATTAAAACAATGTTTTATGTTCATTTTATAAATCGTTACACATCTCCCGTTAACAAAGAGGCTTCACACCTTTGTTTACTCTTCCCCTGCAACGAGGTTGGTGCGCAATTTCTGGGACACGCTGTATTTTGGCCCTAATAATATTGTAATCGATTAGGTTACCCAGCTCGATATACACCTGAGGAACGTCGGGGTCACAGCGATCGAAACATTGGGATAGCAACAACAAAGATGCGGACAATAGTCCAAATATAAACAGAGTAAATAACCCATAACAATGTTTTATATATTGACAGGAGACATTTCGAATTGGGTGAAAAACAAAATGCAATAAACGTCTTTATCTGACATATCAAAGCTTGTATTCCTCACATAAGATTATTTACCTTGGCAAAAATACCTCAAGCATATCCATTCCAGAAACACTTCATACTGTCTAACCACTATGCTGTGGGTGGGGAGTGTTTCTACGAGCTACAGGGTGTTCGTGCTAAATTTGACAAAGACTAATTTTTTTTTTCCGTTCATTGTTAACAGGTATTTCAACCTGTTAACAGTGAATGGTATTGTGATTCCAAGTCCCTATAGTTTTAGGGTTGTCAAAGTTCACTGACATGGACGGTTGGAAGCCACCTGAATATTGGAAGAATGATTTATGTTGGTCATCAAAATGCCACAATCATGACAACTGCTTAATGCTCCTTGAACACCTTGAAAATAATAACACATGAAATGCAGAGCTGCACTGGTGACTACGAGGCCATAGCTTGTAGGAAAGAACAGAGAAGACGATTGCCTCCGTACACCAGATTTCACACAACGCCCGCAAAAGAAATTGACGGAAGACCCAGGCAAGGGAATGCCGGGTTTGGCGCTGGAAAATGGAGTTGCAATTTTCATTATGAAGCTGGGCAAGAATGGGGAACCCCGCTACCATTCATACAAGAGATGTAAAGATCAACTTCTTACAGAAAAGGCTCGAGAAAACCGTCTGGCAAAGACAAAGAAACTCCTGAACAAGGTAAACCATACTATTGAACTATGGACAATCTGGTTCTTCTTTGACGAAAAGTAATTTTGTCAGAACCAGTTGCAACATACATAGTACAAAACATGGCTTGCCAACAATGGTGTCATGAAGACCAAGTTTCCCCAAACTATTATGTTTTTTGTGTGTCTTCATTAAGAGTGATGTCCTGCCACCTCACATCTTGGAACAGGGTCTCAGGCTCAATTCGGATAGCTATATCGAGTTGCTGAACACAGTGGGCCATAAATATGCGGCAGCAGGAAGAGTCTAAAGTGGTTGTTAGATAATTTTTACGACATTAGCAGTCCCAGCGTCTGGTTCACTAACTTCCCTGGTTGTAATCGTATGGATTATTATGCACGGT